ATAAACTTTTTCATCATAGAAAACACTTCATAGGATGTATGATAAAGTGGATATGAACTTATATTTCCATGATCAACAACATTGTAACTATATGTTATATCCACATTTGATGAACCAACTAACTGATCAAAGGCATAGTAGTCACTGGCTGACCCAAGACCATATATCATACTATGGAGAAAACACAAATGATAGTTCGAATAAGAATTTAGTTACTGTACTTTGGTTCATTAGTTCTATTATTTCGATTAACCTTCATCCATTTATCATAGACAGTTTGTCCAACAGGATCATAAGCACTTGGAACCTGCAACTCAAAATGCAGAAAGATAATATATAATATTATCATGCTTATTACCATTTTAGCTGCTTTGACAATAACATCATACAACATTGGTGAAGTATTAATACTAACTGTATGGTTGCCTGTTTTCAACAAAAGTAAAATAACCATTTCCATTTTCAACACATACTTTACCTTCAACTGCAACATCTACATTCAAGTAAGACACCATTCGAGCACCAAGTACTTTAACATATTCCTTTAAAACAAATATCAAACTATAGCTCTCAAATACTGTTAATGCTTCTAAAACCTAACTAACTACCATACCTGAACATATTCTACTGATCCAACCAGTCCATATTCTTCAGCACCCCATGAACAAAACATTAAACTTCGTCGTGGTCGAAATCCTATCAAATATATTATACATTCAGTTTTACTATCATGTGCACAAACGCATCAAAAACTACCATTTTTATACATTTGACCAAGTACTCTTGTTATTTCAAGAAGAGTAGCTGTTCCACTTGTTGGATCTACACTACCCAATGCCCAAGAATCACTGAAAGATAAAAAGAAGAGGTTTTTAACATTTCAGAAAGAAGCATTCAATGATACAAGTCGAAAAGAAACAAATAACAACGAAAGTTTCAAATCTTACCGATGATTTCCAAGAGCAATATATCGATCTAACAAGAAAAACAGTTTTGTATCGTAACAGAATAGTCTTCGACTTACCTGGTTCAATTTCACCTTTCATTATTCCAATCACATTATATGTGTCTTTTCTTTCAAGTCGATTGTATATTTTTACTTCAATCGTACTACACGAAGCAAACAGTTTGTTTTTATAGATCTTGAAAATTGGCTTATCTTACGATGCTTCACGAAGTTCTCCACCATAACGATATATTACGTTTGATAAAGTTCCACGCCATTCGACTGGTACTTCATTACCTTGCATATATCTAAATGTAACATTTTCTCCCATCAAGTAACAATAAAATTCAAAGATTTCTTACTGAAGAATAATCTGAGCTTCACCATACCCAATTGGTTGAGCAGGAATTTTAGGTAGAAAGGTGACACTATC